GAGAGATTATAAGTCAGAATAACAATTTAATAAAATAATACAATAAGTATAATGATACAGACAAACAATTGGTTTTAACCCACAAAACCCAAATATATAACCCAGCACCCTGGGGCATGACATGTGTTATGACATGACTTGTAGATGAAAATCTGTCATTACAATCATATATAGAACTACAAGGCTGAGGACTGGGTGCAGATGTGTGAAGCAGCACGTGGCACCACTGGGATGCAAAGATTAGAGCCCACAGAAAAGAAAACAAAGACAAAATATTCTCTACAAAGGGGTTTTTTGGGGTGGTTTGGATGTATTTGTATGACAAAAGCTGTTACTTAAGATTCTGCTGTGAACCGAGATATTCTGATTAATTCTTGATGCTGTTTTGCTCACTTCAGAGAGATGAAGTGCAATCCATTAGCAAGCTGCATGGGTCAGCCCAAGTGATGCTCAAAGCCAGAGCAAAACAAGGGGCAGCTAGGGAAAGAAACCAGACAAATGGATTAGTTTAAAATGCGCTGTGCTACCCAACAATACTTAAAATCATTAACCGTGTGCATGAATATTTATATATGAGTCAGAAAGCAACCAGCTAATCTACTGCTTTCCCCTTTAGAATGGGAGCCTGAACTGTTTGCAGCAGTCTTTTAGAAATTTATTATTATTAACCTGTTCCTCTACCCAGACAGAGTTTTATTCTCTTGCTTTAAAAAAACCTGTAAAAACAACTGTTTGTTAGCAATGCAAGGCACATTTCCCAACTGGAAAAAAAGAGCTGTATCTAAGCTTTAGAAAGTTTAATGGGCTTAAATTTAAGATGGTCACTGAAAATAATATCAGTTCAAGAACCCAGTCTTGGGCTGAAGTTTTAGGAGGTAGTTTACTGTCAAAAAAAGAGAGATTTTGCAATTGCTTTAAATTATTTTAATTACTTATTGCATACAGAATTCTTTTCTTGGTATGATGGGGGAGGACAGTGCTTATAACATTCCTCCAAAAGCACTTTCATGAACATGTCATAATCTGAAATTTTGCAGCATTATTTCCCCTTTGTCTTCCTCCCAGAATTTATATTGAAGGCTGAATTACATTTTCAATTATACCTTTGTAAATGATTTTGGAAAAACTGAATTCTTAGAAAATTTACAAACACAGACTGATTTTTCTTGATATTCCAGTAGAATAGCTACAGGAACTTGTTTCTGTGCCATCACATTTTTTAAAAGATACCTGATGAGTGTTTGCTGGATGTAACACAGGATAGAAGAGACGAGATATTGGTGGTACAGGATGTCTGGTAGTAAGGAGGGGCATTTAATTGAGGACTGTATAATACAACATACAACCCAAAAAGCTCATATCTCTCCAGAAGGAGTCTTGCGCATTGTTGTTTTGCTGTTTTGTTGACTGGAGCAAAACACAGTTTAAGAATTTTAGAGATCTCTCTGAATATTTTTTTTTTAACTTTGCTCAAGGGCCGGAACTGTGTGTGTGTAAATTTAGAAAACTCGGTCAGGGACATCAAAAATCCTCATTACAGACATTAAATAATTCCTGGTGAGAAGCATAATTCTAAAAGGTGAATGCTACTTTCTTTGAAATAATCTGTTTGGAAGGATGTGATAAAACATCTCCTTGATACACAAAAAATTGAATTGATTTTTGAACATATATGTCTTTGGATATTCCTTTGGATATGTCTTTCCTCTACTCTGCGCTGATGCAGCCTCACCTGGAGTTCTGTGTACAGTTTCGGGCACCACAATATAAGAAAGATATTAAGCTCTTAGAAAGCATCCAAAAGAGGGCCATGAAGATGGTGAAGGGCCTTGAGGGGAAGCTGTATGAGGAGCAGCTGAGGTCACTTGGTCTGTTCAGCCTGGAGGAGACTGATGGGAGACCTCATTGCAGTCTATAACTTCCTTGTGAGGGGGAGAGAAGGGGCAGGCACTGATGTCTCCTCTGTGGTGACCAGTGACAGGACTCGAGGGAACAGCATGAAGCTAAGTCGGGGAGGTTTAGGTTGGACATCAGGAACAAGTTCTTCACCCAGAAGAACTAGGTTCTTGGGTACTAGGACAGGCTCCCCAGGGAAGTGACCACAGCACCAAGCCTGACGGAGTTCAAGAAGCATTTGGACAATGCTCTCAAGCACATGGTGTGATTCTTGGGGAGTCCAACACAGGACCAGGAGTTGGACTCAATGATCCTGATTGGACCCTTCCAACTCTGCAAATTCTTTGATTCTATGAATCTATGATAACTTTTAAAATGTAAATTAGTATTGAATGTGTGCAAAAGAATCCTATTATTAATGTTTAGCAAGCTTGTAGGAAAAGCATTCTTCAATAAAGATAGGTTCTCTTCACTTACAGATATAACAAAAATCAATTAATCCTAACAATGTGAGTACTTTGTAAAGATAAATCATTAAACAGAAGCACAGATATTCTTTAAGGACACATTTCAAAAGTGGTTCTGCTATAACTTCTGTATTTTGTTCTTTCTTTGTGTGAATAGTCATGCAAGTTCAGTGGGAACTTCAGTAAAGAATTCTGTCTTTGATGTACGGTTCTTCAGTGCAACATTTTGTGTTCTATTCCTGTGCTTGTCAGAATAAATCTCCGTGAATACCTGAACCTAGTAATGACAATTAAATTTATTTATTTGGTTTTCTAAAAGCGGTAGGGCCAACACTCTTTCTATTTAGACTGTTTAATGTATGAACTAGTACTTTGCAGAGTGTGGATGCTGGGAGTTTTCAGTTAGAGAGTCAGAAGCTTGTAACTCAAATGAAGGAGATAATGTGCCAGAGAGAAGAATGAATTATGTAAAAAGCCTCAAGAGCCCTAGTCAAGAAACAGATTTTGAAAATTAATCTTGAATAACAGAATGGTAAAGGAATTTGGAGTTCCAGAGTTCACTACACTGTCAGAAAATACAATGTATTTTTTTAGTCCAAGTGATGGGGGTAAAGGCTGGAGGCTTTTAGCAGGGAGCTTCTCAACTGTGATCCCTGTCCATAATTTTGAACCACAAAGCGGGAATTAATTTCATGGGTGCATAACTTCTATTATTTTGAGGTCAAAACAGAGTTCCTCTGAACATTGTATCCAGAATATCCAGACTGTATTTCCTATGGTTATAAATGCAGACATTCAAAACTGTATATAATGTTGTTGAGAAAGGATAAGCAATTACCAGAGCTATAGTGGATAGTATGTCATAGAAGTAATATTTGAATCATAGGATACTGCAAGTCAGAAAGGATCATCTACTCCACTTCCCTGTTCAGAATGGGGGCAAACTAAAGGGCAAAGTGTAATAAATGAATGCATAACTTGAAGAAGTCATTTTTTTAAAATTGGTCTTAAAAAAAAGATGAGACTGACAAACAAACCTGAAGGTGGTTGAGTCCTGAGAATTAGCTGCTATGATAGAATAAAATGGAGAGGACTGTGTGGTCAGAGAGTTCAGTGATGCTAGATTTTGAGGGCAAGAGTCTACTTAGTGCTAGTGAAGACAAAGTAGAAAGAGTTCAGTGTATTAATATTTGCCGTGCAAAAAAAATTATGGCACTGAGGGATGCAATAAAAACATAAGCTACCTACAGTCTAAAGCAAGAGAGATATGTAGGCATATGGAACAACAAGAAGTTTTTAAATTATTTTTTCATATAGGTGTGCTTACTGGAGTTGAGATCAAAGCAGCTTTTTAATACAAAAATGACAAATAAAAGTGCTTTCTTCTAAATGTTTGCTGACAAATTGCCTAAGGGTTTTTTTTTTTGTCATTTTTGCGATCTCAAAGCTGTTCTATGCTACAAATTATTTGGAAAATGCTAATTCCTAGGCTAGACATGAGCCTTTTGTAGCTGGAAGCTCCTTTATTTTTCTTACCTCTTTTGAGGGGAGATGGGTCATAGTCAAGTTGAAAGCCTTTTGTGGACATGTATGCATGAAATTATTAATGTATGTGTTTGCCTGCCACAGTGATGCATGAATTGCAGATTAAGCTACAGAGGTGAAAGCTTTACTTTGGATTTTGATCCCCTGTTCCCCCAAGTAGGTTATCTAACAAACCTACACACATGATATCTAGTTCAACTCCTTCTAGGTAAAAATCAATCTTGTTGACATGAATATTTCACCTGACTGTTTGAACCTACATTCTCAGTGCTGAGAAAAATACTTTCATGACCTCCTTAAGATACATGCATTTACCAAGGAGATGGGCTCTGTTTCTGAAATATTTTACCTTTTTAGTGCAAATTAAACTGAATCTATTGCGAGAAAAGTGTAAATACTGAACAAATTTTTAAACCACTGCTTCACTCCTTCCTTTGGATTACTAGAAAAAAGAAAAAAAACAACAGAAAACAGCATGTGCTGTAGAAATGTAGCTCTTCAACATACACTTTATTAATGGATTTTAGCCTATGGTGTTGGATTGTCTGTATATGTTGTTTGCAAGGCTGAGAGTGGATGGAGGAGTAGATGTTAAATTGAACTACATCTCTGGCTGATTACAATTTATTGTTCTCAGAACATATCTGGCCAGGAAGTAATCTAGTACAGTTAATTTTGTTGAGAGGATGAATTCAACTTTTCAAGCAGGAATGTGTCCAGTGTGACTAGGAGGTTTTTATTAGTTGTCCTGAAACATTCCTTTTCATACCTAAGTACCAGTTTTCGTGAGAAGCTCTGATGATACATTGATCTTTCATTAAAAAAAAATTTTTTTTAAAAAAACTGCAAAACAAACCAACAGTAGTTACATGCTAGCATTAATTTCTTACAGAAATTTCTTTCAACTTTTATTCATGTAATTTGAAAGAATATTGTAGTGGTTTATTTGTTGCGCTGTCTTTCATTGTACAGTCAGTAGCCAAATGGAAGAAAAATAGAGGAAGAGAAACTCTCTGCAGTCACAATCACAAAAACAATTATGTAGAATCCAAATGACATAACTTTTTTTCATCTTTTAATTTTGTTTTCCAGAATGATAAATCCCCAGGCCGTTCCACAAGTCGATCAAGTAATATTTCAAAGGTATGTGGAATCTATTTCCTTTGCAGAGAATTTAAAGAAAACTAAGTTATCAAATATACAGTACTTTAATCCACTTAACCATATATTCATTATATAATATTTTCATTATAAAAATCAGATTTTAAATTTTTGCTGCTGAACATTATGCTTACCATGTAAACTTCATCATAAAGTATAAATGTACAATTAGTTTTTACTGTAATATGTGTAATAATAATAAGCAAATAACAAATGTAGTTTTTTCACCTGCTTTCCACAAGAGTTTAGTGTTACATTAACACTTTGGCTTATGGTGGAATTACTGCTTGATTTTTCTCCCCCTGCCCTATCCAAATCATAACAGCTGTAATGTGTAAAGCTATGTATCTGTCATCAGTTTGGACTGAATTCTGAATTGCTTTTACAGGGATTTGTGGTTCACTGAAGCCAGGACTTTACATCTAGATGCTTTTTGGTTTCTAGGAAATGAAGAAGGAAAACTTTAGGAAAGGCAAAATGTGATTTATACTGGAGTTCTTTGTTTTAACCCACTTTTTTCTGTATTTTTGGTTCAGATGTGGCTGAAATCTATGCCAAAAAGCCAGGATATACAGGAGGTAAAAGATAAAAACTCAATAACTGTTTGCATCCAAGCCTAAATATCTACCATGTATTACATTTGTATCTAAAGATTTAATATTTTTCATTCAGTGCAAGCACAGTATCTTTAAAACTCTTCCCTACAATATTTTTGTCTGTGGGGTACACACTGTAAAACTCTTTTGTTCTTGGAGCCATAAAACCGAAAAACCGAACTGTGATTTTAATTAAAAATACTAGTTCTATGTTAGGTTCTGCTCTTTTACATTAAGAAGAGAATAAAAAAAAGTCAGGGAAAAAGGTGTAGAATGTGGTATATTCTACAGCCTGTTATAGATTATGGCTAAATCTCTTTCAGACTCACTATCTATTATTAAAAATTATATAGTTATAGAATTAAAAGCTTGATCACGGTGAAATTGTATTTATTATTTTTTTAGGAGTTTTGAATGTATGTCTGTAATTACTGTAAGCCTATATTGACTTGCTATTACTTTTTCTCCTTTTTTGAAGTCAGATTTGTGAGTTACACTGTGACAAATCATAGATATAGTCACTGACATGAGAAACATGGCAGCAACTAGTATTTATTTTAACATATTCTGCAGTAATCAGTATAGTTGCTTATTAGAACAGGACACTTGCACTGTTTTAAGTTGCACTCTTTCAGTGTTGCACTTAATCTTTTTCTGATGTATAGCATCATTCATTGTTTTGGATCAATTTTTCTATGTGAAGCTCCCTGCCAATGAAGCTTTTCTAATGCTGAAAGACTTTTGATTGGAAATTCGGATTTGTTTGTTGTCCAGTGCTTTTTGTTTCCAAATGCTTTTTTTGGAAAACGGGATGTTATGTATGTGTGTATACATGGAAAAGCAAACATCTGACCTTGCAGGTTAATATTGCATGGCAGAAAGTCATAGTAACAAATACTGCACCTTAAAAAACAAAATTGAAAGTCAGGTAAACTATACACGAAAGGCAAGAGCTGTGTTCTGTGCAGTGTCAGATCTTGCACACAGTAAAAATTTCAATGGACAGAAAAATTAGAAAGTATTTATCTAAAAATATGAATTAGAGTAATTAAAACATTGTCTTTTACTGCTTTCATTTGCCTGTATGAATAAGTTAAAAAGGTTCGGAGTTACATCTGTGTGTTGTGTATTCCACCCTCGGTTGTATGTGGAACTCCTGCCCCAGAGCAAAGTAAACGTTCCAGGATATCACTGGATTTTGTACCAACCTATTTTTGAAATTAGGTGTAGCAAAGATTCTGCAAATACAAATTCATATTTCATAATTCTCTTAAGTTGTTTATTTAGAGAGGACACCTGAGGTTTGCAGTGTATGTTTGGGCAATTTTGCATGCTAGGTACATTAACTCTGCATTTTGTGCTATTACAAATTGAACTGAATTGTTGAACATTGAATATGTCTTATCTAGACATAATGAGAAGGAATAGCTTTGATTTGTTTTTCACCAGATGCTAGTTAGTATTTACCTATTCAATCTAGAGATTTTAAAACCAAACATTCCCTAGAGGAGTGGGGTATGTGTGTGGAAATCAACACTTCAGTTTTACTGTTCGCTTTTGCTGTCCATTGAGAGTGCAGAAATTCAGCATGTTGCAAAGACTTTTCTTACCTTGCATATAATTTTAACTACTTTAGGCAAATGAAAGGACAAACTACACTACCTTGTATTGACAAAGTGTAGCAATAGTTACTAATTATGGCTTTCAAAACCTGTCTACTGTAATACACATAAAGAAAAACATAGAATTATTGGAAATGTGAGTTATGAACCAGCCTTACTGGTTTTAAATTATTATTTTTTTCAGCACTAGACATTTTTTCCCACCCATTTCCTGTTGTGCTGGTAGAAGGTCCAACTTTATTCTTCCTTGTAACAGATAGTCTTGTGCAGCGTTCTGGATTTCAGAATTGAAATTTTTCTACCTACATGTGTTTAAAATCCAAGTAAATTAATAATTTGACTAGGTCATTACCTGTTTGCTGTTGCTTAGTTCTGTGCACTGTAGATTTTTTTCATTAAACTTCTTACGTCTTCCTAAATATGTATATAATTTAAGAGAAAAGCTAGTCAAAGGAGGATCTGGTTGATTAATTTTTTTTCTGTTGTGGTTAACCAATGGAACAAATCTTGTATTTGAGTTACAGTCCATAGAGGTTATGCTTTATATGTGTTTCTGAGGCTGCCTGGTTATGTTAAAATGATTTCTGGAAGAAATGTTTCTAAACATTGTAATTATCCTTCTGCATGTTAATTATGATTCAAGAGCTCTATGGAGAAGGATGCTTACTCAGCAGTAAGATTGGAAATTCTCTAATGGGAACTTTGGGCTTATTTTTCAATGCAGAGAAACTCAGGCTTGGAACAAATTGCCTGATTTTTGTTTTGGCTCAATTACTTCTCAAAAGCCTGGAGCAGGTGTTAGAACACTTTTTCTTTACAAGTCTCTGAAGTATCCATCTAATAAAACTCTGTTGAGTTACATCAGGAAGTGAGGTGATTGTTTTGGATTATTGTGTGTGATAATATTCACTGGTCTAATTTAGAATATGAATAACAATAGAGAAAAAGCAGAAGGAAAGAATTGTTTTTACAGTATGTTTATGCAAGTCCTATACTGATTTCTTGTGTCAGGTTGTGGTTCTCTCAGTGAGATACAAACAAAAACCAAAAGGCCTGTCAAAGTAGTGCTAACTAAAGTTCAAGATGAAAAATTTATTTTCAGCGTATTAACTCTTGATTTGAGCTACTCTGTTTCCGATTCTGAAACAAATTTCACAAACTGGATATCAAGTTCTGTAATAAGTAATATAATATTTATCCTTTTGAATTATAAATTACCATCTAATTTCTTCTGTTGAAATTGAACAATCTTTCGCTTAGGTTTTGATATTTTCAAATTTTTCATCCTCTCTCAGTGAATGTATGAGGAGTCCTGTATTGCAGTTTGGATGATTTACACCACTTGAAGCAGAACTCACTTCTACACCCTATACTTTTTTTAATGGGTAAACTTGCCATCATGCCTTTGGAAGTAATAGCAACAGAACATGTAATATCTTCTATCTTCATTATTGCAAATGCAAGCAAAAATGATAGTTTTTTTGGTGGAAAAAAACATAAAGGAACTTAAAGGTTCTTCTAAAATAAGTTTGTATCATGGATAGCCAGATAGAGGACTGCACTTTGATAGCCAGAAAGAGGATTGCAGCATTTCCAAGATACCTGTTGTATGACAGAATCCTAAAGAGCAATTGTGTGAGCCCTTGCATTTTGCTACAGGGGACTGCACTGCTACAGGTTGGTCCATAGTTCTTATTGTTCTTTGCCAATTTCACACTAATAATAAATGAAAATTCTCTTCCAGATTTGTGGTGGGTGGTTTTTCTTTTCAAGGAACCACATAGCTCCATCCTTTCCGAGCATAGCTTCTAAATTACTGTAGTAACTCAGAAAACTTAGGGCTTTCAAAAGAGAAAACAAACCAAGTAAAAAAAAAAGTCCTTGCTCTTCTAAAGTGTAAAATTTCAGTCTTCAAATGTACTGTTACAGTGACTAATACCAGGTATACAAAACTGGCATTAAAATATGAGTGTAAATGTTATGTTAGTCATCTAAATGATTCTTCTTGCTCATAAACAGAATCATTATTATCAAAGGTGAAGACTAACCTGGCACTTAGCTCTCATTTACTGAAAAAACCAACAGCACAAAGTAAACAAATTAGTGAAAAGATTTTATTCACCAAAACATAATTCATTTTGAAGGCAAAAAAACCTAACCCTAAAACTAGATCAAATTGCATAGTGACTGTTTCTGCACCTTTTTTCCCTCGTAGATATAAATGTTTGATTTCTACTTGTAGAGAATACTTCATGGTTTGTCCATACAATTTATGCTTTATTTACAATAAAATCAGCAAAAGGCATGACTGCAGAATTTGCCTAAGTCTGCCTAAAACTTGAACTTATGAATAAAATTGCATTAAATACATGTTGGTTCCAGGGGAAAACCATTGAAAATAGTACATTTTCAGTTTACTCTTGGATACATTTTTTTTTGGCCTGTTTTAAACTCATGTTCTAATGGGAGGGAAAACATAAAAAAAGTGATTGTATGTATACAAAAACATGTACAGTTATACAGATTCTGCTTTATCACAGTTCTTACCAGTCATGTGTTTTGAGTGTACCTAAATGTGCCACATTGACACACCCAGACAAAATTGCATATATGTGTGAAATGTGTTAAGAGCCACAATCTTAATGTTTTTTATACAAGCTTACTTAGTGTGTAATGCCTATTTAGTTTCTATGAATACATTTTGTTATCACAGAATTCAGTCCTTCCTATGATAGCCAGTATCATACAGGAGAAGTAGCTTTGA